ATAATAATAATAATAATAATAATAATAATGGGGGATGGGAGGAAAGGAAGACAGACAAAAAAGTGAGAGCTGTTAGCGCAGCATTTACCTCGCATATAGAAGGCCTAGAGTTTAGTGCTAGCCGGTGAAGAGCAGGGAAGGAAGGAAGGAAGAAGGGAAGGAATGGGGGATATAGAGAACAGGAGCGAGGGGGAAGAGGAAGAGGGAGACTGAACAGAGAGGAAGAGTGAAAAGAAAGGGAATGGGAAAGGAGGAGAAAATAGGTGTGGAAACATGAATGAACAAATGTGAATCATACAATAAAGTTCAGAGAGGTAGCATAGCACTTGCTTAGTAATCATCAGAACCTAGACTAAAGAAATAAAAGGAGGGGTCAGGCACTGTTGGTAGGGGTCATAAACATTACTGGATCTAAGAGGCTTCACCTAGTGAGTGCTTTCTACTTCCTGGGTACCCCTCAGGTTGCACTGGTTGTTGAGGGTGGAGTAGAGTTACTGGCTATGCATCTGCTCTGTGTATCCTTTCCTGGTCTGAGGATTACTTCTGTAATGATCTGCATGTACTTTGAGGGCCCTGGGTTTAAGACATTCTGTAATACTTCCCCTCAGATGGTAGGAAGTCCCACTGGGTCTCTGGACCCTCAATTGAGGGATGAGAGAGGGCCACAGGCATGGTGAGGAGACATGAGAATCAGAAAGTGGTGCATTCTATCTTGCTCTGTTTGGCCAGGACTTGATGACAAGGATCTTCATAGCTGCAAGGGGACAGAGCACCCAGCCAAGCTTTCTGCTTAGAGAGGAAAATTGGATTTGATGATCACCTATCCAGTCATGACTACAGACTGACAATATTTTACCAGGTCCTGATGGGGCAACAATTACTTACTGGGAGTGCACAGTGTAGAGATGCTGATACTTTGTATACCTGCCTTCTGTGGTTGCCCAGGGAAATAGCAATGTTTGGAGACAGCAGGGTTTCTTGGAACAATGGTTCTGGATACTTGTCCTTACAAACCAGCCGACCATCTAAATCTGCTCTCCACATGTTGTGCAGTGTTTAGACATCATGGCCCTTCTAAAATTATAGCTCTATCTTGGGCAGTGAGTCCAGGAGTATGTACTTAGAATTGCTGCATGCAGTGACACTCTCATTCCCAAAGTGATCTATGTGGGCTCAGACTTGTTTTGCTATTTTATAAAAATCCAAAGTCATATGCAGTATTCAGTAGAATTCTTTATCCTGAGTGGCAGACAGCATTTGTTGAAATATTTAATTTGAATTGCACATTCTATGATGAACCACATTGGGAGTAGTCTTGGTTTTATCATTCCTTTAATAGATGTGGGCCTACCTTTTAAAAAAGTTATTCATTTTAAATTATTATATGAATATTTTAGGATTATAATCATCATAAAATGAAAGAAAATTTGTCAGACCAAAATAGAAATTTAATTTAAGATAGAAATTGATTACAAGGTTTAGTTAGGACTAGAAACGTGTATAAAAGGGTATTTTTAAAACCCTGCAGCTATACAGTTTGGTTATCAGTTCAGAAAAATCACAGATGTGTTTATTGGTGTCCTTGATGATCATGTTTGAGTCACTTTAATTAAAGAACAAACTTTTGTAAGGTTGAAAGGCATAGCAAACCTTTGTGTCAGTCGTGGAGAAATGAACCTAAAACTCTGCACATAGAGTCCCCAGGTTACTGTCACCAAGGAAGCAGCAAATATAGAGAAACCCTGATACACTGACCCCGCCATACTCCAAAGGATCGCAGAACCACCAGAGCTACTTGTAAGTCCAAGCTTACTGCTGCTCTCTTCACAGTATCCCAGACACAGAACATGCCTAGATACATATCAGTAGACAGATGGGTAAAGACAGTGTGGTGTATGTACACGATGGAGTTTTATTCTTCCATTAGAAAAGAATGAAATCATGCCATTTGCAGGAAAAGAATCTGAGCTGGAGGTCATCCTGTTAAGTGAAAGAAGCCACACTCATGTTTTGTCATATGTGGAGTTTAGGTTCATGCAAGCACAGCACAAGAGCAAAGTGGGGGGCTGTTTAAGTAACCAGTGGACTGGGCAGGGGGTGTCATAGGTGAAAGTGAGCAAAGTACAGTGTGATATGTATGTGTGAAGATGTCATAGTAAACCCCATCATTACAGTACATTATGTGATACCCCATTTTCAAGATTTCTAAGGTGTGTAGGAGGCTGAAGGCATTCCTGACTAGAACTCTTGACTGTGTTGAGGTTAAAGGTGCCGTGGTCAGAACAATCAAGCTGATCCATAGGCGTGTGTGATTATAACATCCCCTTCTCTTTCCTTGGTATCCATAGCACTTCCTTCCACCTGTCACTTTGTCCTGAGTGACACTGGAAGCAGAAAACAAGTTGACCAGGTTTGTTTTCCAGTCGACTCTTGCTTATTTTTCCTCTGGTGGCCTTTTGTTTCTGTGGGGCTCAAATTTACTATTCATGAGACCCATTTTAATCAATGACCATATCAGACAAATGGAAGCTAAGCACTGGTTAGTATGGTGGAAATAAACATGGGCTCTCATTAATGGTGCTGTCTGAATAATGAGTTGAGCGTTGTGTCCTGAGCCACACTGAGAGCAAGCAGGCTCCTCACTGGAACGACAGGCTGACAGCCACGTCTAGGAGTACAGTCATTAGTGTGCCCCGCCATCAATGTCATGGTACTGTGTCAAATTAGTTAGTGTCCCCTTAGCCGAGAAGCTGGACCTACAAATTATCCTCCCACATCCCTGGAAGCCGTGTTTGCGAAACCCGCGATCAAGTGTGAGCAAATTATTAACACGGCTCATAAATTAACTAGTTTACAGGCTTATAACATTTTACAAGTAGATAATAAAGGGCCCCAAAGTTCCCCAATGACTCTGCCCTGGTGTGAGGACTGAGAAGGGCTGACTTTCCCTTGAGGCATGTGAAGCTGATCCTTAAAGAGGCGCAGCTCTTGGGGTCTCAGAGTCAGTGTTGGGGGATGCTCGCCAGCAAGTGTACTTCCATTGAAGACAACATAATGAACTTCATTATCTCATTATGCTGATGAGTCCATGACAATGGTCCTATCTCATGATGGCAGGTCTTAGGAGTTTACATTTTAGGAGTTTTCATCTGAATGATCACTGCCTACCCCAATGCAAATGTCCTTTTAAAATATTATTTTTCCTTTTAAAATAGTTTTGATGCATTCTTATGCCTTGTTTGAGAAGAATAATGACCACATAGCCTACCTTAGGAGAACTAGGGTGAGTGTGTGTGTGTGTGTGTGTGTGTGTGTGTGTGTGTGTGTGTGTATCCATCATTGTATACAAAGAGGTTAACATCAGGTGTCATCCTCAAGTGCTTCCCACACTTTTTTCTTGGTGAGTCTGGGGCTCACTGATGGGGCTAAGGCTGGCCGGCAAGCTGCACAGACCTCCCCTCTCCACCTCTCCAGCACTGGGATTGCAAGTCCAGCCCACCAAACTCCTTTTTTTTTTTTTTTTTTTTTTCTTGATGTGGTTTCTAGAGTTGCATACAGGTCCTCTTGCTTTCACAGCAAGCACTTTCCTGCCTGGGTCATCTCCCAAGCCCCAGAACAAGGACACTCACGCTTGTATGGCTTGAACAGTCTTTGTGTTGCAAGCAGCTGATGCTCAGAAAACAGTGTGGTGAAACCAGCCTGAGTTTACCTGACTGAATCTGGAAGAGATACCCAACCAGAGCACTATGTCTGAACTCCTCTCTGTGTTCTGCCTGACAGACAACCCACATGGTTTCCAGAGACATGTGACTATTCAAATCATGAAACTCCATACATCTTTTCAGTTTCAGCTTCTCAGTTTGACTAATCTAAAAAATGGGTACAGTCACCAAATGTTGCCCACACACACTGTGGGAAGAGTACACACACGTCCCCTGAAGGACTTATACTGGGCTCTCATTCTGCTTCCTTTTGTTTCTCCGAGAGCATTCCTTCTTAGACTCCGCAGCCATGGAGGCGGCATGGTCGCCTCAGGGCTTCCTGGGGGCCTTTGACTGGCAGCTTACACATTCAGAAAGCACTCTGAGGGGAATTGACTGCTCCATCAGCAGAGTTGGCCAACTCTGTAAATAGTACTCATGACTCAACTAGACCCACAGAAGCCCACAGCTTCAGCACACATACTTGCCCTCCATGACAAGGCTGACCTGGCCTCTACTGGCATGTGAAATGCAGTTGGTAAAATGACAAATGAGACAATGTGGCTGGCTGGCAGGCAAGAATTCACCTGCCTTTTCAGGGCACCTGTGTCTGGATGGTACGGGTTTCCTCCTGGCCTCATCTGCAGGGCACCTGAAGCCAGGTTAATTGACCCAAACCGGAAATGAAATCTTCATTTTGCGTCAGTGTGTCTTCTTGTTCTTACTTCTCAGGGTCCGTTAGCATTAATTCGGAGAATGCATCCTTAGAATGTGGCTTGAGAGAGAGCTCTGTCTGTAAAGTGCTTGTCCCAGGAGATGAGACCGTGCTTTCAAATCCCTGGCACACACATGAAACAGTGGCAAGTGTCGCTCATCCCAGAGCTAGTAAGATAGAGACAGCCTGATCCCTGGTACTTGCTGGCCAATTAGTCTAGCCGAATGTACCAGGTTCAGTGAGAGACCCTGCTTCCCAAAAAATGTGGATGTGTGATTGAGGGAGTTCTCTCAATCTGACATCTAACCTCCACACTGATGCACACATGTAGCAACACACACACACACACACACACACACACACACACACACACACACACACACACGAAATGAGGAATAGACACTGATGAACACTTCAGGGAACCAGAACACCTCACGGAATATCTCTGCCTTCAGGACTGATAGTTGCGCTCGGTTTAACATTTTTCATCAGAAAATATTGGGGCCGACTTCACGTGTGAGGGAAGACGTCCAGTGATGCACCCGAAGCCCTGGCCCTAACCCTTCTCTCCTTTTTGTCTCCAGGGTCCTTCTGTGTGTTGCAGTCTTGTGGCATTCTGCAGGCCCCCTGCCAGTGACCCCAGGCTTTTTATGGCTGTGAGACTTATTAAAAGCTCAGGGTAAGTAACCAAGGTGTCTCTGTCACCAAGGGGTGGAGAGAAAATTGTGGGCCACCTGCCCCAGGATCAGGCACGAGTTCCAAAGCTGGCACTTCCTGTGACAGTTATATGACTTTTAGGCATAGGTACCTTCAGGAGTGGGGTGGTGGCTCAGTGGTTAAAGTGCTTGCCCCGCCAGCATGATGGCCTGAGATCAATCTTATGACACAAAATAAGAAATAGAACAACAGCAACAAAAAAAAAAAACCAACCAAGCCGGGAGAGGCAGGTGAGGAAAGTAGAGACAGGTGGATCTGGTGGCTTTATTTAGTGAGTTCTATGTCCCAGTGAGAGACCCTGCCTCACAAAACAAGCCGAATGTCTCCTGAGGAATGACACCCTTGGCTCCACACTTGTCCATACATGTGCATATGTACCTGCACAAACATGCACGTTCATGTACACACTCATTCACACCTCACACAGAACAAACTAAAAGAAATCCCATTTGTGCCTGGTCGTGGGTCATAGTTGCCAGAAGATGCCCAAATGCAGAGATGGCTCAGATTGTTTCCAAAGGGCCAGAGAGTGACTCTAGTTACCCTCCTGGGCCACAGACAGTGTCTGTTGCAGTTAGGCACCTCTGCCATTGGTTAGCAGAATTAACCATGGGCACTTGAAAAAAATGAGTGGGGTTACTACTGTGTCCCCGTGAACATTGTATACCCAAATAATTATTGAGCTGTATTGACCTGAGGGCTTTGGTTTGCTCCCCCATCCTCTGATACATCAAGGTTGGGGTGCCATCCATGAACTTCACAGCTCACAGGGTTACTAGTCTCTCTGACCTTGAGCAAACTATGAATGAGGGAGAAACAGGGATTTGAAATACCTGCCCTTGCAACCCAGCAGGAGACTGGCAGACTGAGGCGTGGTGGACTGTATGTGACTGGCTTCCTTTCATGGGAGGGGAAAGCCCTTCCATGTCTCTGGCTCCCCAGTCACCTTCGCTTTCATCAGCTAACCCAGGGTGGTGGAATGCTCTTTTATTTTGTGAGTCATGTGGTCTCTGAGCTCCGTCTGTGTTCCACTTGATGGACACGCTGTTGAAATATCTCTTTAGTATCAAATATGGATGAAGGGCTACACGGGTAGATTATGGCAGGCTAAAGATCAAATGCCAATGAAGAGCGATTAAATTTCCTTTAATCATCAGAATCTGAGAGGCCTTTAAGATCTTCCACCTTTAATATGGGCCTTAATAAATAATAATGCTTTGAATGTCTGCAGTATGTTTGAATTTCACAAGTCTTGCGTGTCAAAACATATAGACAGGCTCAGCAAATACGCGTCCCTAGACCAGCAGTACTAATTACGAAGGGAAGTCAGGGTTAAACAAACAGCTTTAAGAATAGAAGGTGGGAACTAGAAACCCAATTTGTGGATTTTTTTCTAGGGTTTTGGTCCTCATGGAAAACGGCAGTGCTATCCAAAGAGGTGTTTTTGTTTCACTGTATTATTTGCAAATGACTGTCTTAGAACAGATGCTCCTGTAGGTAGGTGGACAAATTTGCTGTGTGCTCTCTTTCATGAAACACACGTGGAGAGAGTAGTTCGTGCCGTCTGCCTTTCTGCTCTGCCTACTCCAGGGTATTAGTGCTTTCTTTCCTCGTGGTGGCTGCTGGGTCTCCAGTCATGGCTCCTAGAACCTCTAAGGAAGGTATCGAGTCAAGAGATGAAAGCGACCCTTCTCACAGAGGCAGGCCCCTTTGCACAGCTTCCCTGAAGCCTCCCTCGTGACTTCTAGTCCTGTTCTCTAGATTCCTGAGACAGGCAGCCTTAGCTGTAGGAAATGTGGTGCTCCAGAGGGATGGAAAGCAGGAGACGTGGGCAGTTGTAGAGCTGCTCGTGGGCTTGCTTATGCGAAGTTGTCCAGTTGTCCAGGGTCGTGTTTGACTTACTCTGTGTTCACATTCCAGTCTGCCTGAGTCTTAGCAGAGACTCACATCTCAGCCAACTCTTGAGACTCTTCATGTTTCTTATGGGGCCATGCTGAGCCTGAGACTTGCAAGGGATACACATGTCCCCCAGAGAGGTGTAAAATTGTAAGTCCTGAATATGCAGATGAGTGTTTATTACTGTGGTTCTGAGGTTTTGTCCAGGTTAAGTCATGGTATCCCAATGACATGGCCACTTCTTATCCAGTGGTGCTCTCCTAGTGTATGCAAGAGACCGGGTTGAGGGCCCTACTTTCGCCTGTCTTATTTGGACTTGAAGATATGCCAACCCATCTCCTGCCATTCCCTCCCATTGGCTGTGGAGCATGTCAGCTGATTTCTTCTTACCTTCAGGTGACAAGTGAGTTGCCCTGTCCACATTCTCTGCTTCAGATTGACCTGGATGTGCTTTCTGTGAAAATTCCTAATTGGCACAGTGAACAGGATGGAATTTGCCTTGTCCTATGAGACAGTCTCTTTGTCCCCAGTCTGTGCTCATGAGAGAAGTAGACTTGTATTATCAGGCTTGCTTTCACACCTGCTGTGGACACAGGACAGCAGTGTGACCACACTGCATGTGCTGGAGTTAGATTGGCTTGGACTCAGACCCTGTTCTTCCATGAGCTCTCCTCATTAGACTGGACAGATCACTCAACAGCCCTGCGTCCCAACTGTGTCTCATCTGGAAAGTGGGTACAAGTTAAGCAGATCTTGGTGGATGATCTTGTGCTTAGCAGAGAATCCGCAAGATGATTCAGGCAAAAAGCTTAGTACAGACTTTGGCCCTTAGCTGAGGCCATCATTGCGCAGAGCACTTCCCATGGGAAGGTTGGCACCTGCCATCCTGTGGCTGGGTTGTGGGTAGTTGTCTGTCTGACAGAACATGCACTTTTCACAATCCAGTACTTGTTGCCTGGTTGGTGTTCCCTTTAAATATATGTGCAGCTTTGAAGGGTAGCCCTGATGCATATCCACAAGGACCTCTGCAGCTCTGAACCTGGGAGGATGGCCCCACAGGCAGAACACCGAGCTTCATGTCCTATTTGGGTAATGTTTCTTAAAGGTGAGCATTTTTTTTCTTCCAAACTGAGGTCCTACCACTGCTTATGACTCTTTGCTCTTGGTCACATCAATCTCTTCTTCTGTGCCTCAGTTTCCTTATGTGAAGTGGGGCTTGAGGTGTCACCTGGGTCATAGGGTTATTGCTACTATAATGAAGTGGTTCATTCCCCATGCTCTGTGCTCAGGGCCTGGAACACAGTTATCAATTTGGAAGCAAGGGCTTCTGGGAGATTCAGTGAGAAATCTTATCTTGGGTTTTCTTACTTTCCAGTTTAGAGTTTTCTGTTTTCTTTACTCTTTTTTCCTTTATTTTTTGGGGGAAGGAGGTAGAGGGGAGGAAAAAAGGGCCCTGCTGTGCAGCTCAGGCTGGCTTTATATGCGACATCCTCCAGTCTCAGTCTTCACAGGGCTGAAATTACACACATACCACAATGCCCTGCTGCACTCTTCGTTTTAAAGGTGTCAGGGAAGGGCAGAGACTTGATTCCTGGTGATATTTGTGTGTTCATGTTTGATATATTAAATGAACTGTGAAATGAAAGCAAGAAAGAGTGGGCTGAGGAAATTCCTGTTTGGTAAAAACACTTGGTTCAGTCATGAGGGATCTGAGTTCAGATCCCAGAAGCCATGTAACAAGCTGAGCATAGCCACATGTGTCTGCAACACTAGCGCGGGGCTTGCTAGTCAGTGAGTCCTGCCTCTGATGTGACAAGATCCAAGTTCAGTGAGAAACTCTGTTTCAAGGGCATAAGGCAGAGAATCAAAAAGGAAGACACCCATTGCCCATCTCAAGTCTTCACATGTGTGCATGAGAATGCATCTCTGTCCTCTACGTGCACACACAAAAATGCACCACAACTGTATGCACAACACAAATGTGGAAGTGAGTGCAATTGGTTTGCTGTGTGCTGACAGTTGGATATCTGTACCTTGTCTCAGACCATACGAGGTCCAAATGTCAAACCCAGCAGCAGCTTATCATCAGAGCCCAAGCCATTTCCTCAGAACCTAGGAAATGGGGTGTTCATGGTGCTGAACCCCAACTTTGGCCATCTCCCTGGGGATCCATATCTCCCAGTATTAGAGCTGGTTTGATCTGCCTGGCAGTAAAAGGAACCTTGTAGTGGTGGAAAGCCTTCTAGGTGGTTAAGTGCCTAATTGACATGTCAGTCCAAGTCTTCATGTTCTTATCTTTGGGTGGAAAGCTCACATTTGCATAGATGGAAGGGATTAGCTATAAATATTCATCACTCTTAACACCTTTTACCTGCTTTGAGAGGGTGATAGGTTGCTGTATTGTTCCATCATGCCTGTGGTTGCTGTGCATCCTTCAAAATAGGGTTGTTACATAAAAGCCAAGGTGTAGAGAATGCCCCCTTCCACCTCCCCATGTCACGTAATTTCTGCTGATAAAAGGTGAATATATATAATCTTGCATTCTTACTCCCACGAGCCTTGGGCTATATAAAGAATCAAAATTGCCATTTTTTAATTTATAGTTTATACCATCTCAACATATAAAATAAAAGGACACCATGAAAACATTGACACGGGAGCTAGGAAATGGCTCAGTTGGTAAGGTGCTTGCTGCAGAAGAATGGAGGTGTGAATTCGATCCCCAGTACCCATATGAAAGCCAGGCACAACTGTAATCCCAGCAGGGAGAAGGCAGAGGCAAGAGGATCTCTGGATTCTGACCAGCTAGGCTACCCAAGTCAGTGAGTTCCACATTGAGTGAGAGACCCTGCCTCAAAAAATAAGGCTGAGCAATTGAGGAAGACACCTGACATTAACTTCTGCGCTTTGCATATATATGTGCCCACATATACATGAATGTGTTGCCCCTCCTCTCCAGAATCTCTCTCTGTTTCTCTTCCACATCTCCACATTTCCCGGTGGGTGCATGCACAGAACAAAATGAAACACAGTACAGTAGAAGGCATGGCATCCTTTTGAGGAAAG